CAGGCTAGCTCACTAGAGAGAGTATGGTTCAAAACATCTCTGCAAGAGACTGTTTCCGAGTTACCCATTAAGAGAATATTTTTTTCCTTAGTATGAACATTATGAAAGATTATTTTTTTTAAATGAAGAAATGAAAAATTTTTGCTTGGAGATCTTTAAAGGCTTTGTCACCATATTTCTGGCAATTCTATTTATTTTATTTTAAAAATTAATTTATTCTTTCATTGAAACATAATTGATTGCACATATCTGTGGGTTACAGTGTTGAATATTAATACCTGTTTGTAATATATGATTCTCAAATCAGGATAGCAATTCTTTTTGGAATTGCGTGTAGGTATGCTGCGGGAGGTGTGCCTCAAACAGACTCTACACCCCCCATTTTAAAAAAGTAATAGAAAGGAAGAAAAAAAGAAAACGCTGAAACATATATTATGGATTGTTATTTGTGTTATAAAGACATGTGCTAAGAAATCTAATCATGAGACTTCTCAGGGCATTTAGAATCATTCCATTTATAATGTATATAGTTTCCAGGGAAGATGCAGATAGTTTTATAATGTGAGGTACAATTCCATTTATGCATTTATTATATTTTCACCAACTTTTCCATGAGTACCAACTGTATGTTAGGCACTGTGCTAAGTGTTGGGGATATTTGGACATACAACAGTGGGTGTGATAAACAGGCTTTTGCCCTTAAGCAGCTTACAATGTAGACTGAGTTGTAGACCATTAACAAAGAGTGATTCATTAAATATTTACAATTCGTAATTAGATCTATGAAGAAAATAAATATAAGTAAGTATAACCAGATTTATGAGATCCTTATTTTATTTCTTGTGCCTCAAATAATGTAGACTTTCTAGATAGTCTGAATGTGTATTTACAATGGTTAGCCAACTAAGTCCAGAACATATTTCAGAGAAAACAATCCACCTTAAAATTGTTTGTAATTGTTGGTTATCTTAAATATTTAGCTTGACCTGAGAAGTTTAGATCTGTGTATATAAAATGCTAACTCGTTTAAACAGTGTTGCCATGTTTTCTATTTTAGGGTTTTTGGAGCTGCCATACTTCTTACCTCTACCCTAAACATGCTGATCCCTTCAGCAGCCAGAGTGCACTATGGATGTGTCATCTTTGTTAGAATATTGCAGGGACTTGTTGAGGTATGGAACTACAGGATAATATCACTTTATGATTGACATGTTATTAAGAATCACCAGTTTGTCTTTATAAATAAATATATATTATCAGGTTGTATCTACACAGTGTTAAAATAAAAAATGAAACATTGAAAAAGTTAGGCAATCAGATATTTTGTATATAAATGTTGCTAAACTACAACGGTGACTGCTTACTTCTTCCTCTCTAGAACTGAATGGGTTTAAAGTGCTTTAGTGATTATTTGATGTAAAAAAAACATATGAACTTTTGTTAATGTGTTGTGATGAGAATTTTTGAATCTGTCCTTTGGTGATAATCTTGAACTAGCATTTTAGGAGTTTTATTCTAAGTCCCTGTTGGCCTTGAATCATGATATGATTTTTCACTAAAATATTTTTGAATATATTCTTTGGGTATCTAACTCTAATGATTGGCTCTTGCTCCATCAGCCCACAGACTTTGAAAAACAACCATTTAAAAACCTAAATTTGGTCTTTCCATTGCTCTTCTTCTTTCCAGAAAGTATGGTGGGAATAGATAAATAATATAAAATATCAAGGCACTGAAAAAAAATCTTTTCCCCCCAAAAGAAAGAAAAAAATGGTAGAATCAAAATAATCAAAAAAGGCCAATTATTTTAAAGGTCTTAAGTTTTAGACAACTTTCAGGAAGTGTGAGCTGAGGCTCATCACATTCAACATTGTATAGATTCCTTATATTTGGGAATCACTGAGTTTAATGCTTCACAAAAGGGTCTTTCAAGTTTCTCAAATTGTTCCTAACTGCAGTAGAATTGGTTAATCTAGGTTTTTGTTTGTTTGTTTGTTTTTTGCCTTAGTCAGTAGAAATTTTAGGTGGAAGACTGGGGCAGGGAGGAGAATTCAAACAGGTTACTAAAAAGATTCCATGTCTTATGTGGTCTGGACTCAAAGCTTTTAAATGGAATATGAAGGAATCAATGAGGGCCCATGAGTAGCAACTTTCTGTAATACCTTGTGACCGTCCTATAGCAAACAGCATCTGAGAAGGAAATATGTTTATTTTCCATGACCCTGGGTCCTAAATGGTAACATGTGTCTTCCCCTATCACAGGGAGTTACCTACCCAGCATGTCATGGAATCTGGAGCAAATGGGCCCCTCCTCTAGAGAGGAGTAGATTGGCAACCACTTCCTTTTGTGGTGAGTACTGTGTGTAGCAGATGTAGTTACAGTGGGTAAAAGTTTAGGAACAAGTTGGATAAGAATTAAGTTTGGTAAACTCATTTGTAAATCCGTCTGTGGGGTGTGTGTGTGTGTGTGTGTGTGTGTGTGCGCGTGCTAAGGTTTTTGACTACTATGTTAACTTCTTTAGTTCTTACTAGTCTCCTTAATTCCTCTATTTCTTTTTGTGCTTTGTATGTTTGTAAGAGTTGATTCATTTCATCTAGGTTTTCAAATGTATTCTTGGGAGGTTTTTAAAATAATACTCCTTTTTTTTTGAGAAACTCAGAGATACAAAACAAACAATACAGAGTTTAAACACTTTTACAAAAGTGAAAATATAAAGAAATGAAAGATATGGCTTATGTCTGCAAACATTAATCTTGCTTTGATTTCTGTCTGATGTTAAAACTTAACAGTTGATCATAATTTGTATTTGATACAATGATTCATTAGAATTATAGCAGACAAAGTTTAATCATAGAGAGCCTAAAGAAAATAAATATTATAATTAAAATTAATATGATCTTCAACTATTCTAAGTACTATTGCTATAATTTTCTATGTATTAAAACTTCCCTTATAGGCATTAGAATTATAGCAGACAAAGTTTAATCATAGAGAGCCTAAAGAAAATAAATATTATAATTAAAATTAATACGATCTTCAACTATTCTAAGTACTATTGCTATAATTTTCTATGTATTAAAACTTCCCTTATAGGGAACAAAGCTTACTTAACTGCTATTTTAGGAAACAGAATTAATAAACATTTATTAAATATTCAATCCCAGCTTTTAAAGTTTAGAGCTTTTTCTACTAATCAGAAACCACTTTCGGTTCACTGCTAACTTGTAAAGTATCCTATGACAATCACTGTAATTTAGGATCATTTTTGTCTGCAGAGTACTCATAAATTTTGTATTTATAACAAAGCAGCAGTGCAAGAAGCAGTTCCTTTTTCAAATCAGAAGAAGAAAGAATATCTACCCATTTAAAATTCAGGGATTAGAACTGCTGCAAATAATCCTACCAATAGAAAATTAAAGCTGCTGTGATTTTCCTTTATATTTAAAACATGTCATAAGATCAGTGGTATTCTTGCCTACAGATGTTGAATTTATAAGCATTTAAGCTTAAATCGTAGGGCATAACTATGGCCATTTCTGTTTATACTTCTAAGATACTGTTTTCACAATCATATTTGATAAGTTTTAAAATGAAGTGACAAAACACTACACAAAGATGAAACTGCATGACTCTGCTACAAAGAGATACATGCTTGAGGTGTCAAGAATAAATTTCCAGTGTCTGGTTAGTGTTGATATACTCTGCCCCCAGCCCAGAACACAGATGTGCAGGGCAAATGCTAGCCTGCATGGCTTTATAATAGTAGTAGTAGTAGTAGTAGTAGTAGTAGTNGGGCAAATGCTAGCCTGCATGGCTTTATAATAGTAGTAGTAGTAGTAGTAGTAGTAGTAGTAGTAGTGGTGGTGGTAGTGGTAGTGGTAGTAGTAGTAGTGGTAGTGGTAGTGGTAGTGGTAGTGGTAGTGGTGGTGGTGGTGGTAGTGGTAGTGGTAGTGGTAGTGGTAGTGGTAGTAGTAGTAGTAGTAGTAGTAGTAGTAGTAGTGGTAGTAGTTATCATTATTATTATTTTTGGCAGCTGGCAAGTCTGAGGATCTGAACCCTTGACCTTGGTGTTAATCAGTACCACACCTCACCAACTGAGCTACCCAGCCAGCCTTCTTTTTTATTATTTTTAAGTCTCAGTTGTGTCTTGGGTACGTAGAGGGTATCCACTTACATAGTCCTGTGTTTCTATGTAAATACGTAGGCTTTTATATGTGTTTGGTGGGAGTATGTGTATCGGTGTGAAGGCCCATGCACCTGATTGTGTGAGTGTGTTCTTGTGTGAACCAACAAAGGAAC